TGAAGAATATAGAAACTGATAAATAGCTTTTAGGAACATAAGACAATTGTGGGCCTCCTCTGTTCTGAAACCAATTGAAGACAAGGAATGGGAGTTCTACCAAGAGTTCATTTGTCATATTTGCATTGAGAAGGTAGAAAGGTCAGAACGAGGAAGACTTCATTTACTTCCTCCTTTTAAGACCTCTCCCCATGAAAGGGACCACAGACCCATTTCAAGGGACAAACTAAGCATGCTTAATAGCTTTTGGAGTGATTAGAATACGAAGCGGGTAATGGGATGTACCAAAATTATGAATATGTATTTGTATTTTGTGTACTCAATACTTGTATGGATAAAAAGACACTGTAATCACCTGCAAGGTGTGGTGTGTATTTGGGAGCGATCCCGCACGATGCCCAGCGTCGAATAAACACACACTTTCTAACTTTAACCTGTTAGAGAGGTTTTTGTCCATCACAGTTCGATATCAGTACTAGATCAATACCCATATTTTTTCAATAAATCAAAGTGAACCCAGAGGTGTGGACAGACCCAAAGGGAAAATTTGATGTGGAGCCTCTCCAAATTACTTGGAAGCAAACAGGACAAGTGGTGTCTAAAAGCAACACCCTGTTCCAGGGGAGGGAAGGAAGGGCTCACAGCCTGGTATGGAGTCCCTGCTAAAGGCAGGGCTCTTGGAGCCAGGGATGTCTCCCTACAGCACTCCTATCCTGCCAGTCAGGGAATCAGATGGCTCCAATGAGGAGGACAAGAACAAGTGGTAGACAAAGACCCTGTGAAATGGCTGAATTTTCTGGCTATAAACATCTTTTGTGTATCTGAAAAAAAAAAAAAAGTGCAAATGGTGGAGAAAAAGGTTAAATATTAGGGATATATTTTGCTAAAAGTTTGTTGTGGTTTGACACAAAGAGGGTCTGGGCAACCTCAGAAGTAACACTTCCCAGGACGAAAAGGGAGCTGCAAAAATTCTGAGGATTAACAGGGAATAACACAACCTGGACTGAGGATTCTCTGTTCCAGCCAGAACATTGTAGGACTTTCTAACCCCAGACAGCTTCCATGCTGTGGTATGGACAGGAGAAAGTGAACAAAACTTGAGAAAATGAAAACCCAAAAATATTGATGCCTTAGCTGTGACTCTTCCAGACTCAGAAAAGAAATTGGAATTGTAGG